TTTTCTCCCATCACCAGAGACCTCCTTCGGTCTTCGTGACCTTTCAAAGGTGGAGAGTGGCCTCAATATGACATGAGTCAACTGTCTCAGCACCCTTCAGTGCAGCCCATAGATGTTCAGGAGAAGCAGGTTAAGTCAGGAAAAAGAAATCTGGGGCATGGAGGAAAATACTGAGATGTTTGTGAGTGAAGTAATCTAATGCAAAATTGGCACATGGATGAATAGTTCTTTTTGTCTTTGATAATGTGTCCCTTTCATGTAATTAAGTGAGAATCTAATTAATTCTTGAGTTCATATCTATTGGAGATGCATTTCGATTTTATTCCCAAGCGTGAAAGAGCAGGGACTTTAGGTCAAGCTGGATTCGTGTTGGTTTGATGAGTGATTCTAGTTATCACATCTTGTCAAAAGAGGACACCATTACCACCTTGCAGTCTATGTGGATTCCATCTGCTTTACTTTATTCCTAGCCCAACCCAGCTGATTCAAGTTTTTACCCCTTTATCCTTTTTAATTCAGGATTTGCCTTCACCCCTCCTCCCAATGAGTAGCACGTTTTGCTCCTGTTCTGCTGGTCTGTGGATTCATTGTTTGCAGGCTGGCAAGCCCCCAGTTCTGGGGTGACAGATGGAGCAGACTGCAAACCAGGCAGTTGCCTCCCAGCCTGAATGATATTTTAATAAGCACAGAGAGGTGACAGGGAGAGGAGCTTCTCGCTGGAATGACTGGCAGGTTTGTTTCCAGCCTGAAAGCACTAATAGAGGATTTTGGCCTCAGTCCAGAAACAAAAAAATCACAGAAACTGGAAGCAGAAAATCCCATTAGCTTCTTGTTTACCCCTCTGTTTTAAGGGTCAAAGTTTCTTCTTTCTGGTCTATTATCCAGATACAGATAGTTCCCATTTTGGGGATTTTAGCTCTCTCAGAGATTCTATACTTTGAGAGACTTGCCATTTATTTATTTATCTTTTCATTTCCTTCTTTTTTCCATTTCATTCATTTTCTCCATTGTCTTCTTTCCTTCCTTCCCTAAACATTCTCTTTTCTTCTGGTTTCTTTACACTCTTCACAGTGTAAATCTTCGCAGATTCATGGTAAAGTCTGCCTGAATAATGGGGCCTACCAATTTACTTGCCTTCCAGCTTCCACATCCTATGAAAACAGCCAGTGCAGTGCTAGGCAATGGCATCTGCATGGGAATCTCTAGAGCATATGTCCTCTCCTCCTGCCCTTCAGCTGTATCTCAGTTGTATAATAGAGGGTCTGTGTAGGGCTTTGTTTCATCCTTGGTCTTATGAATAAAAGCACTACAAAAAGGAGCTCTGGCAAAGCCCCAGCACACTCTGAGATCCCTCTGCATTGTGAGCAACACAGTGTTTTGCAGACAAGCTGTAGGATAGCCAGGCTTTCAAATGAGAACATTGTTTTTCTGCCTACAAGTACAGGGAATAGGAAAATATCAGAATGGTGCTTGGATCTGAACTGAGGTATGGTCCTACACACTGCTCAGAAAACACACAGGAAACTTCCTCAGTATCTGGACATAGACCTTCATGTTGTTTATCAAACTTCAGGTCTGGGTTTCAACTGGAGAATGAGCTTTAAATTAATGGGATTCCTGCTAAAATATGCTTCTTTTTCCTTTCAGATACAATGATGGCACTGAAGGTCCGGGTTCTCTTCAGCTTCCTTTGCTGCATGATTTTTCTGCCTACAGATGGCTTCCCAGCAGATGCCGGTACGGAATTTCGCTCTGCTTTCTCTGTGGCCAGAACCAGCAGCATGGAAGGGAGCTCCGAGATGGTCATTACCTTTGACAAAGTGTATGTGAACATTGGCAATGACTTTGATCCCAAGTCTGGATTGTTCCGCTGTCGGATCCCTGGAGCCTACTACTTCTCCTTCACTGTTGGGAAATACCCAAAGAAGAATTTGTCGGTCATGCTGATGAGAAACAAGAACGAGGTGCAAGTGATTGTGTATGATGAACATCACCGCAAGGAACGGAAGGTAGCAAGTCAGAGCGCTATGCTGCAGCTTGACTACGGCGACACTGTTTGGCTGCGTTTACACGGAGACCCCAAGTATGCTCTTTACAGCAATGTGGGCCCCTATACAACTTTCAATGGCTACCTAATCTACCCAGACACTTCTGCCTTCTTCCAGAATGCTCTTAGCTCTCAAGAAGTGGGGCCACACCATCACACTATTCAGCAACTTCCCAGGGAGCAGAATGAAGTTTCACAGCCACACGTGTTATCTGATCAACCAAGCAGGGAGCAAGACCCCCGCTCTGCATTCTCTGTTGCCCGCTCACAGAGTCTCCTGGGCACAGATGACAAGCAAACCCAGCATGAGCCCATCACATTTGACACGGAGTTTGTGAACATTGGGAAAGATTTCAATTCCTCCACTGGCATCTTCTCATGCCGTATACCTGGTGCATACTATTTCTCCTTCACCATCGGCAAAATGCCCTTTAAGACTATGTCAGTGAAACTTATGAAGAACCACAATGAGGTGCAGGCCATGATCTATGATGACAACCACTCCAAGAGGCGCGAGATGCAGAGCCAGAGTATTATGCTGCCACTGCAATACGGGGACACTGTTTGGCTCTACAGCCACCAGCACGATGGCTATGGTGCCTACAGCAACCATGGCAAGTACATTACCTTCACAGGCTTCTTGATCTATTCAGAGGCTCAGCCAAAGCAGCTTCCAGGTGTCAGCTCAAATAATTAAGGGTCAAATAATTAATTACAGATGTGAAAGGAGCGCAAGAAAAGCAAAGGTGCCATGAACTTGGGTATAGCTCCTCTTCAGTTATCGTCCTCTACTTTGAGCATGCTATCATGTGTCCAGTGCTTCCTTTATGCTGCACGCTTGTTCCCTCTCTGCAGGGTCACTGCTGTGTCTGCCATTCATCCACAGAGAGGTCTCTACAGTTTGTATGTGTGTGTCCTGTGTTAGTGTTTGATTTAAGCATAAAGCATGAGGTAGTTTTCTTGGGCAGGGGTGGGCCAATGTAGTGACATGCCAAGGATCAAAGAACCACTGCAGTAATGTTCCTGCAGATCCCCAACATTCGGAAAGCAAAGGATACGGTCACTGTCCTTGCATATCTGGGGAGGGAATAAATGTAATGAAAATGAATGTAATAAAAATACAAAATATGTCAAATTTTCTCAGATTGGAATTTGTTGTTACTTGTGTGCTTGTCACCAGCTGAGGTACCAGTTCAGGAGAGAAAGCAGCATGGTGACTGTACCAGCTGCAGTATGTGCTACTGAGCCAGTCTGCGTACACTCTTTTATCATCCGTGTGTGTGAAGTGTTGGTACCTCTCATGATATTAACACAAATGTCACAATATTTGGTGCTTTTCTTAATCTGACATCAATGAAGTCAAGAAGCTGTTTGAGAATCTCAGCTTGCATTTAATGAAAATAATACATTTAGACACAAACCAAGAAGTGGGCTTCTAGCTCTTGCAGTAAAGGATGAGGGCTCAAATCTATGAATGGAGCATCCTCTGAAAGCTCAGAAACAAGGTAAGTAAGAAGAAAAAAATATGTATCTTTAAATCCTTTCATATATGGGTCAGAAGCAGGCTCATAATGATAAGTGTGAGTAGTATCATGCCGAGCAATAGCAGTGTTGACTGCTGGGGCATTATATTCACCAGAAATTAGCTCCTTGACCACAAGAGCACAAGGATATGGCTGATCTGCCATATGCTGTATTGGTATCACAGTGCAAACAGGATCAAAGGCACCATTAGGTGATACTTTCAGCATCTTTATTCAGTAGTTTCTTACACACTGTGTTTGCCGAACCATAGTGCTGGTGTAGAGGGACTGGCTGTGGAGAGCCCTGGCATGTTCCCACAGGGCAGTAAGGACTGACAGCAGGACCCAGGGGGGCAGTAGGAAAGCAGGAGGCTGGAGGCTTCATCACAGTGTGACTGATGCTGTTTCCATTGAGCCAAACCCTGGTTTGTCTCCCCAGATACATAAACTGAAAAGTGGCAGGTTGGATGAGGCTTGGAGCAACCTGATTTAATGGAACGTGTCTCTGCCCATAGCAGGGAGGTTGGAACTAGATAACCTTTAAGGTCCCTTTCAAACCGAACCATTCTATCATTCTATGATCTTGAGCATGCATAAAACTTTGTGACATGACTCGAGTTTAATTTATAGTCTGCTCAACACATAGCGATGCTCTTAGACTGATCCTAACAATATCCTGAATTCAAAACAGGGTGTTTGCATCTGGATCACCAAGCCAACCCCCTCAGCTTTTACCCACACATTCACATAGCTCAGACTGTATATTCTCCAACCAGACAACTTCCCTTTATTCCAGTGCCATCCCTTCTCAGCTTTTTGATGATGCTCTCTGCTCACACTGAACTTGTCTGCAGCCACTCCCTGCCTTTATCACTGCATACATCCCCGAGACACTAAAGACTGGGGGCATATGTGGGAAAAGGGTGAAGGGTAGTGGTTGGAGGTATGTGAAAAACAGCATAAGAATAGAAGAACATTAGGTGGGACACTGGTTTACTGGAAGTTATACTTCAAATAAAATGCTACATTCTTTGGGGAAAAAAAAAAACAACAACAAAACAACAACCAACCTGCTTTAAGGGCTGTGTAAATCTGTCTCCTCCTGTCATAGCCCTAACCTGACCTCTAAAACTATTCTCTGTAACATCTTGCTTCCAGGCTTCTTATTCCTGCCTCACCACTTCTCTTCTCCATCTGTTGGGCAACAATGGCTTGGAAAAAGATTAATGAAGGCAAAAGGCAGCAATTCCCACTTTGAATTTCGCACATGCCTCCTTTGCTGAGCATGGAAAATTAAGAGTATATTGATAGAAAGAGAATTATGGATGCCATCATCTAAGCACATGCAATGAATGTGCAAAATTAATGTACCTACAATGGCAGCAGGAAACCTAGTAGAAACAAACAAAAAAATTAAAACCCTTATTATGTTTATTTAATTCCACATTGCAGTGTGTAAAACAGAGAAAAGTTAATGATCTCTTTCTATACAATAATCATATTTCTCATTTTGAGGATGGAGATCACATATTTATTATGTTTGGCTTGTAAAATGCCATAGCTGTACAAAATAAACTTCATAGAAGAGGTAAAATCTGCTCCAGAAATAACTAGGTCACAATCCTCAGGAATTTAAATGAGCCCTAAGGAAGTATATTCCTGATAACTGGCACAAAGCAGAGTACATGTGTAAATATGATATGCAAATGCTAGAATGCCTCACGGAATACATATATTTTCAGGTTTCTTTTTAAATAAAAGTGGATACTTGTGATGGGAAATTATTATGGACACATAAAATGTGACGCCACATGAGCAGAAAGCTGAAATTAAATAGGTGACCTGTATCATGAAACACAATAAAATCTGCTTAGCTGGTTTAAAAAAAGGAGAAAAGATGCTGTATTTGGCTGAGACCACAGGAGGAATACAAGGAGGCTGAACTGACTGATCTGAATGAAGTCAGCTAGGACAGCAGTGTGACTTCCTGGAAAAACACTGCCAGGGCACCTCTCCAGTAAGCATCAGAGATTGACAGATAACACATCTGAATAGCACTGCCCCCTTCAGCACAGCCCACTTAAACCCAAAACACAAGCAGAACAAAAACAAAAAGGAGAGAGTGAAATGCACTTTATGGTTTTGTCCTATTTAACTTAAAAGCTTGTGCAGAAATCCTTACAGAGTTGGCAGTGCATCACAGAGAGAGGACAAAAAGGTGTGGTGTATTTGCACAAAGTCCTGAATAATGTGGAAACCAACATAACCAAGGATGCAGCTGAAGTCAGGTGTGTCCTTTCCTATGGTAGTTTCCTTTATTAAGTGTCTCTCTTGGTCCTGGCCAGGTTAGAGCAGTAGAGATGTTTCAGGGATGCTAAATGAGAAGGCTTCTCCTTCCAGGGCCAGGAAGCCAGGAGCAGGGTGGTGTTTGCAGGGCAGAGCCCCTTGCAGAGGTCACGAAAGATTTCATCCACCAGTTGGGAGAAAAAACCAATCCAGAGATTTTTATCCAGACCCTGCGTGGAGCGAACCTGATAGGCGCAGTAAACACTGGTGAAAAGCAGGCGGTCAAACCCCACTGGAGGCAAGGGGGTATCAGTCAGTGAATAGTAGCTCAAGTGCTGCTCAATCTCTGCTGGTGTTTTGGGAACTTCCTCCTCTAAAACGTGCATGAACCACCGTGCCGGGCGCAGGGAGGCCAGCTCTTCATCCCGCAGCCGGACTGTCCCGTTGGCCTGAACATCCAGCCCTCCCCACAGCATCTGGAAGGGAAGAGCAGCACGTGAAGCCCAGCACAAACCCTCCGCCAGTTATAACCCAGCTGTAAAGCCATCTGCAAAGCTGCCAAATCTCAGGCCACACCGACAGGCGGCTGCTCCCTGACTCGCTGCCCACAGCCCGCCTCATCCCACTCCATGTCCTTCTTTGCCAGCCCCACACCCCTTTTCTGACCGCCCCACACTTCAGTATCCCTATGGGACCCATCCAGCTCTGTCCTCCCGCCCTGCCACATCTGCCTCATTCCCACCCACAGCAGCTCCCCAGTGCAGCTGCCTCGGGAGGGGGGCTTGGCCACTTGGGGAAGTCACCCATCCCATCGGGATGGTCCCTTGTCCCACCCCAGAGGTTTGAGGTGCCATGGAGGGGATAAGAGCCCCCCCTCAGCTGCACCCCACAATGGGAAGGAGCACAAACGCATTAGGGCATCACTGAGGTGTTCTCCAGGCACTCCCGAAATCCAGGAGGGATGAGAACAAGCAGAACATGTGAGTTTTTACATGCAGGAAGGTGGGACCATGGACACTAGCAGTGCCTTGGCCCAGGGGCCCCCAACACCCCAGAGACCTCTAACACGATGTCAGCATCCTCTGGGCTGCGATGGGGAGTGTTGGCGCCGGCACCATCCCTCCTGTAAGGATGTTCATCTGGAAGACATCAGGCAGAGTTTGGTAGCGCACGACCAGGGCCCTTCCTGTTTATGTTTGTCATTTGGTTCTCAATAACATCTTCAATGTTTCTGAGCTGTCACTCACAGCTTGCCAAACATGACAGATGCTGACCATGGGGTTTTGATAAGCAAAACAAGCTTTTTAAGAGGAAAAAAAAAACACTTCTTTTAGGACAAGCAGAAGTGTTTAAGGGAGGCAAGTGTAACTTTTGGATATGACAGCCCTTAATCCTGCCAACAGAGCTAAAGCAATGGCAGCAAATGCATTTGCTTTGACAGGCAGGAAGGAAGCTTTTCACACTGAGAATGGGTGGGTTTTGAACTGATGGGGTTTGGTTGCTTGGCAGCTTTTGCTGGAGAAAGCAACGCTTCCCAGTGGAAGGAGGGTGCTGGGAGGCTCCTCGACCTGCTGGTGGAGACATACCCTGATGCTTATCCTGGTTTTATACTTCCCTGAGCATCTGCTGCCAGCAGAGGCAAAGTGTGGGGGGCAAAGAAACCTGGTCGGATGCATTCTGGCTCTTATGTCCAGCTAATTCCTTGCTGGGCCACCCTATATCATTTAAAAGGGAAAAAAAATATACAAGGTGAGAGGAATGGGAGTTTATTAAAATGAAAGTCACATTAATCCTAAGAATTCTTAATTTTTCATTAAATAACACTTCTAGTGTTTTAACTTTTTGCATTTATTTTGTCTTTATTATTTCCTTCTTGGTGAAAAAGAAGACACAAGCAGCCTCAGTCCAGGACTGTGACAGGGAGGCTGCATCCCCTCCCTTTTCTGTGCTACTCAGCATAGTCACGCAGCCAAGACCCTCTTCTACTTCTTACAGACTCATCCTTAAGGTCAAGAAACACAAAATGGAAAAGGTTCATATAATATATAAGCTTTCAGACACCTTTTTAAAAATTATTTTTATATGGATTAAAGCTTTTTTATATAAAAAAGAGGGAGAATTTATATTGAAGACTGCAGAGTTGAGGTCAGCAGGTGTTTATAGAGAGTAGAAAAATCACTGAACACCGTGTGTGTGTGATGACCACTAACAAACTGCACTTCAAACTTTCCATCCTTGATTAAAGCTTACCAGGGAGATGCACAAGCTGCCTGAAGAAGTGCACTGCCACCCACAGAGCTGCAGAGATTTGTTTCTCTGCACAGCTGCAGGCTCCCTGATCCAAGCCAGCCATGGCTTTGGAACGCGAGCAGGGATGTATCTGCTCTTTCCTACTCCTCCATGGATGAGCCAGGAAGGCTTTTAGCTCAGGTAAAAATACTACATCATCTGAAATTGTCTTTGCAGAGCTTCTCTTTGCTAACTGGTCCTCTAGGTTCACAGATCTCTCTATTGAATGATTCCTCTACATACGATTGGATTCAAAGTCAGTGTATTTGGTGACTAGCTGCCAAAATGCTGTCTTTTAGTAACTGTTTCACGAGTATGTGCACTGTTAGATCCCTGAGTAGAGCAAAACAAACATCAAACAAATCATAACAAATAATGTATTGAAATAATAACATAAATATCCTCTAGAGATGGGGAGAAAATGTCCCTCGTTTACTTGAACATCCAACAATTGATTGTTTGTTTGTTTTTCCCAAAAAGCATCTGGAAAATCCACAAGAATTCTTGCAGAAGCAGATTTTTTTCAGTGCAGACTCAAGAAAACCTTCCCCCTGCCACTGAACGTCACAGCAGGTCTTTATCCTACAAGTAGGTACAAGTGCCTCCTCCAGTGATCCGGGACTCCAGATCTCTCCCATGTCAGCACAGCCAGCTGGAGCATTTGACCATATTTAGAATCACGGAATCACAGCATGGTTTGGGTTGGACGGGACCTTAAAGCTCATTCATTTCCAACCCCTGCCACAGGCAGGGACACCTTCCACTAGAGGAGGTTGCTCCAAGCCCCATCCAACCTGGCCTTGAACACTGCCAGGGATGGGGCAGCCACAGCTTCTCTGGGCACCCTGTGCCAGCGCCTCAGCACCCTCACAGGGAAGAATTTCTCCCTAATGCCTGATCTAAATCTCCCCTCTGTCAGTTTAAAGCCATTCCCCTTTGTCCTGTCCCTACCTGCCCTGGTCAAAAAGCCTGAGGAAGCAGGCAGTCTCACACCACTGGCATTGCAGGAACATTTCCCAAGCCAAGAAGCCACATCCCGAGCAGGTGCATTTCCTACCTGTGAGCCTCTGGGATCCAGCAAACACGCACAGGATCAGCCAGGCATTGACCTGCTCCGGGGCCATAGCAGCACGGCTCCCACCCATGCACGGACAGTGCCCTGCGTGGAGTGAAGGCTGTTTGCAGTGGTGTCCTCCCCTGCTGCTTCTGGTCCCAGCAGCCTCTGTTGGAACAGATCCCTCTTTCTGTGTTTCTGGTTACAGTCCTGGGAAGGGCTTGCAGTTCAACTTGCTGACCCCGAAGGATATTTTCCATCGTATTTCGGAAACTTGGAAGACTTTGTTGCAAAGTTTTTGGCAGAATCGTTTAAGCTTCTTTTCCAAAGACTGGCTTCCCGCGGCAGTGTATTGTAGGAAGCTATCGTTTGCACTACACAAATGACTCTGAAGAAGGGAGGTCCCTTCCACGTCCGCACTGCACCTCTGTCACATCTCTGTGACACTTCTGCTCGGCTCTTTGGCTTCATTTTCTGTTTTCCTTTTTCCTGAGTTTCAGAACCTGCAACCGGCCCTGAACTGTCACAAACAGATAAGGCCAGCAGGCTTATCCATGATTCATGGAAGCAGATTCAGGGAAGAGCAATAGCAGCCAAAACATGCAAACAGGCAGAAGAAACGTCATTTGCTCAGTTCTGTATCAAACCTCCCAGAGGGAGAACTTGGTACAGCAAACAGCAAGGATCAGAGCCAGGCAGGCTTTAGCACCTCATGGTCCTTTCCTGTGACAAGACCTGGGGGTTATGATAAGCACAGTTTTCCTTAGATGTTGTGAATTACGAGGCTGAAACTACATCTGATTCCCTTCACAGCAGATCGATGTTCTCTACACATCTTTGCACTTTTCTTAGGGCCCAATCCCCAGTCAAGCTGTTCTATATTTCTATTCTGCATGGCACAGTATGGTCCTGGCTTCTCCAGCAGTTTCTGGGATGCCAGCGTTATACAAATAGATATGTATAAAGAAGTAACAGTACCATCTCCCTGAGCTTAAAGGGGAAAAGGAGCCATCCCAGAAAAGAGAGGAGGTGGAGCTGATACTCACACCTTTCTCAACAAGTTACAGGGTGTCAGTTTGTAGTGACTACTGTCACCATGTATTTTACTGAAGGTAGGGATGATGCTCCAGTCGATAAGCTGGCAGCCTGCAAGGTAGCTTGTCTTCTGAACCTTCCAGGGTCTGTAGCTGTACCTGGCAATGTGTGGACCCACACCAGCTGTGAAGAAATGCAGCACATAACGGAAGAGTCCCAGATTTAACTCTTATATACCCAGAGTCCTTAATACCCACAGCCATTCTTACCCTCAGTTTGGATGAAAATAAGACCTGTGTTTCTGTCATAACCTTGGCTATCTTCAGATCAGGCTACACTTCTTTCAGTCTTCATTATTTTCTCCTGCCTACGCTTCAGTTGTGCCCCTTTCCTCTGGGATGAGATATCTTTCATTAAGCTGTGAATCACAGGGTACTCAAGAGGCAGATAGCAGTGACCCATCTGTGCAGTGAGATGGATGTGCCTTCTGTTTTGTGTCAGAGTCCCCTACGATCCACAGTGCACACATGACTTTAGAAGTCACTGTGCCAAAAGCCCCTGCACCTCATAGACCATGAAATCACTTCCCTTTAGCATGAACAAGGAGTCCAGGATCTTGGCCAGCATCTGCAAAGGCCATATACGATTTTGTCAGCAGGATCATTTCCTAGGAACAGTTTGCAGCTGAAGTGCCCAGAGGAGGATACCCATGATGGTGAGAGAGATTAGAGAGGAGGTTCAGAGGCTGTGCTTAGCAGACTGATACAGAGGCAGGCAGGGGACAAGAATCAGTGGTAGATGCTGCCTTGAGCTAGGGGAATTTTGCAGAATTTCCTCACTATCCCACATAGAAAAGCACTTGCAGAGTGCAAAGATATCCCTTAGCTGTTTGCAAGCAGCAGAAGTTACATGGTACACAGAAACAAGCGGGGCTTCTGACAGCTGTGCATGGTCCCTGCATGTACTATTGCAACGGCAGTGAGCCTGCTCCTCCTGATGGATCTTGTCCTTGCCAGGTATTCACAGCTGAGTGTGCACAGCCCTGCCCCTCTGCACCCCACCTGGCCGTACCATCTGCTGTAGGAGCAGTTTCAACACATCACATCAAGCTAGGTTTCTGCAGGGGCACCTTGACTGGTTTCATTCTTTCCACCATAACCTCCTGAAGTAAGGAGATGGGAAAGGGGAACAAGATAGGAAGGATTGTAAACTGCAGGAGCTGTCTGGATGCTGGTTGAGACACGAGGTGTGGTTAGTACAGTACCTAAAAAGCCTCTTTGGGAAGCAGGTTTCTTTGAGATTGGACTGCAGGGAGATGGGCAGCACCTTCACAAAAGGGAAATTATAGAATGGGAGAAATCTCTTGCTTTGAACCTCTTGCCCAGAACTTAGGGAAGACCATGGCCCCCAGCCTGGGCCTGTCTGGCAGGTGCTCAGGGGAGGAAGATGAGAACATGGCTGAGGAAAGAAGGGAAGGAAGAAGGATGTACATGACTGGCAGAGAAGGTGAGGTTTGAGTCACAGGCAGGGAAAAGGGAAGAAGACCTTGAGGAAAGCAGGAGTGAAGCACTGATGGTAAACAGACATGACCTCCACTGTCATTCTTCATGTATGGTGCTGCTGTTTCTTATGCAAATGCTTTCCCCGACTTCTTTCAGTTTGTGAGTGGCATCCACTGCTTGAAGGAGTAATGGGCTGTGTATCTGTGACAGGGAAGGCCCCATCCCACTGCACCTACTGCGCAAAAGGAACTCTGCAGAGGCCTCACACAACTTGGAAAGATCATGGGATACAGCGGGATGGGTGGTATGCAGCATGCTGTCACCCAGCCTGTCCCTCAGTAGTCCCATAAGCTCTGTTCTGCAGGAGTGCAAGGCCCAGCTGAAATCCCCAACTAGGTTTTGACTAGAGATCAATTGTAAGGGCCCATACAGACTGTGGATGTGATGGAGGCGGATACCCTGACACCATCAATAGCCGCATCCTCAGGGAGGAGAGACTGCTCGCCTGGCTGGAGGGAGAAATACCAGAGTTCTGGAAAACGCCAGCAAAACCTACTCAGCTGGGGAAGCTCAACATGGTGACTGTGAGTCATCTCCTAAAGTCTATTTGTCCCCACAGTACCAGAAAATCTCTCTTCTGAACAGTGTGTCTGTAAACCCACTCCATTTGACTTACATCTCATCCAACACCCTCCTACAGCTGGGAAGTCCAGCCCAGGCAAACAGGCCTCATGGAGGCTGGCTGTGTGGATAAAGGATTTGGAAGACAGTTCTGTGCTTGACCAAGCTGACCGCAGCCTTGCCTAGCATGAAGCAAGTGCCCACCAGCCGCAAGGAACTTACAGCAAGCAGGATTTATAGGCAAGAATGCCTTATAAGACTCTGGAGCAGTGGAGGAGGTAGCGTGCCAGCATTGGCGGTACTTTGTAAGGCTGTGCAACCTCTTGTGCCCAGGGATAATGCATCTGGGTGAGTAAATTGCACTCTTCGTAATCTCCCAGGCTTCTCTAATGAGAAGAGATTTGGGTCCATTAGCAACTATGCCACATAATAAAGACCTGCTGGAGCCATGCCTGTCCCCACAGGGCTAGCTAGTTCTCCAGTACACGCATTCTTCAGCAAAGCTTACATGTTGTTTAACTTGACAGGGCATTGTGTCTAACATTTTCTGATGTCAATCAAATTCTCCTTCTGCACAAACATCATGTTTAAATGTCAGTTTTCCTTCTGTTCCTGCCACCATCAGTCTTCTGACTTAACATACTGGGAAACACATATTTTTTACATGATACAGACCATGAGTCTTGGCACGGTGCCCCAACCAACCTGGGATGAGGGAGGGAGAACATGGGGGGAAATGTGCTTTAAAAAGAATTTTCACAGCAACAGAAGTGGTGCCAGGAACTTTTCTGTCTTGTGCAATAGGCATCAGCATGCAAAAAGAGCCACCGCACCAGAAAACAGAACCAGCTGTGGAACATGTCACAGCAAGGACTAAAAGTACATTTCCTATTTAATCAGCTCAATTGATGGCAGATCCAAAGTGAAGCTGAGAATTGTATAAACCCCCAAACTTCTGCTTGATCTGTGTTCCTCTCTCTTTCCTGTAGAGCTTTAACTTTGAAGTTGAGCGGCAAATGCTATTAATTTTAACTAGAGACCACTGTTGTGAGTCACATCCCAAATGCTGCCTGCCACAGCAGCCTGAAGCAAATTAAAGAAACAACAAAAAAGGAATTTAAGGAGCCCATGCTTACAAGGCTGGGGTGGAAAGAGACAAACATGAGACCCAATTCTTACCATACAGTTCAGCTCTTTGTTCTTGAAAACAGATCACATTCTAGTTACAATGAGTACTTGTCCCTTCTTTTTCCTTAATTGAAGTGACTATTGTCCTACCCCTTGCTCCATCCCATACTCTAACCTCCCCAAAACCCCTTTTTTAGTTAGTGCTTTTAGAATTTAAAAGCTTAAGTAGTGATTCAGGGAATCTCTACAAACAGACCGTGAATGATTTTATGAATCTTCTATACAGTAGTTTTGAGATCTTAATGAGGTCAGTCAGCTTCCTAACACAGAACTGAGTTATGCATTTTCTGGACTAAGGACAAGAGACATTAATTGATGACGGCTGTAATGTTATCCCATTCAAACAGGTGGTGGGTGGACTGAGACAGTGTTTTTCCAGCTTTTTTTGGAGAGAGCTGAGATTTTCCACAAGAGCAAAGATAGTGGTAATGTTATTATATCATACAGCTCAAAATAACTGGAGTAGTGACAAAAAAGGCATAGACCCTCATCTGTGGCACAAGGAAAGAGAGATTTTTTTTTTGACTGCAGGAAAAAGCACAATCTGAAGATGCTGGAGGACTCCTGATTGTGAAGAAAAAGCCAGGATGAGAAGTGGCATGTGAGAAGTTACCTGCAACTCTCCCTTCTGCCAGAACAAGCACTGACCTTATTCCCATGGAAACAACACAGATTTCCACAATTGTTTTGCTCTGTATCCAGGTACATCTTGTGTTGTCCTAATAACTGTATTAGAATCACTTACAAAAGCTTTGCCTGTTTGGTATATTATTAGCTTCTTCCCAACACCCATCTTGGAGCTGAGATACTGCTGTCCCACTGCTTAAGCTAAACAGCTGCTTTCAGTACAGAGCTCAGGTTATGATTTATGCCTGCAGGGACAGTTAGCAGAAGCAGTGCACAGAAAGCATTTAGCCACAGGGAATTCCTGGACTCCACTCAATTTGCAAACCAAAAGAGACAAACCCAGTGTCTTACAGCTTGAAGCAGCAGATAAACATCTACCAGCTGGATTATCAGGATTGTAAATTAGCATCCCTCACCCTGTGCTTTTCATTGAAGACAACATTATTCATGTGACCACAACAGCAGGACTCTCATATCAATTTTTATTATTATAAATACTATGTAAGAACAGAAAGGATGGTGCCGTGCATCCGCTCCATTCTGCTGCTATTTTGCATCTTCTTTCTTGGCTCCTGCTTCTATTTTCAGGGTTTCTGGGGCTGGACGATAGGCAGGAAATGCCTCCCAAGGACTATTCAGATCAAATTTGCGAAACTCCTGAGCTAGCTCCACAGGCTCTGCCACCACCCGTTTCACTTCATCGTCATACCGCACCTAGAACAGTGCAAAGGACACAGACCAGTCATTTTCACACAATCCCCACATCATCTCTGCTATTAGCTGTATACAGTAACAACCCACACCACCCTCCAGTAAAGGGAATCCTACTTCTTATGCCATGGATAGGCCACAGGCCCCTGCCACAGACCTCTGGACTCTCCAGGAAAACCCTTCTCTTTGCTACCACATAGCTCAGGTGTCCTGACTAATGACCCTGAGTGCCCAGCCTACAGTCCATATGAAGTCCACATAGAATAACACATTCAGTTTGTGACAAAGGAATTTCTCCTGAGTCACTGAAATAAGGTGGCCCATCCACCTGGCATAGCTGGGGACTACGCTCATGAATCTTTATAATAGAGGTGTTGGGTTTCAGTTGTACTTCTTATTGTAACACTCAGAACATGGGAC